TGTTTAAGTGGGGCTTTTCCCTTCCTACGTCAGAGGTCCCAGCAGGTCTGGGACAAAGCCCATACCTCTGAGCTTGGTGGCCACCGGGAGTTTTATTTTGGACTTGAGAGGTGTGGTTTACTTTGGAGCTGGTGGCCTCATGGTGGGCAGAGCTGCAGGACTCTCCCTCCCAGCTGGGTCCTGGGCAACAGACTCTGTAGCTCCCCGGAGCCCGTGGGGCAGGGACATTGGCTCCGTGGCACTGGGTTCTGTGGTTGGAGGTGTGGACTTGTCTCTGGCCTTGACTCCTTAGGATGCGGCAGTGGCTTTGCTGCCCGTGTCTTATTCCCCTCCTCCTTCACCGTCTTCCACCACGGGAGAGGAGGGAGAAGGGCACTGTGTGTGCACCCCTTGTTGCTTCTACAGCTGGAGTCAGACGGCCCCCACCCCTCTGGGGATCTGAGCCCCCATGAGCCTGTTTCTCTGCAGACTTGTCCTGCTCTGGTCAGTGAAGCCTGCCTAATGCATCCTAGGGGATGCGGATGCCTTAGGCAAGGCGGCTCCCCTGGCCCTGCTGAAGCTCCTAGCCTGCTGGCCCAGAGCCGGTGGGAATTTGTATGTGTCCGGGGTGTGGGGGCCTCAGGGATGATCAAATGGATCTGTCAGTCTCTGACTGGCTGTCCCCAACCCCAGAAAGGGGCAGGGCGTGGTGAAGTTGGCCTGGGCGCAGTGACATGGAAAGCCATAGCGATAGCCCCTGCTCACCACCCCTCCACCCTGCCTCCTGGCCCTCAGTGGGGGTGCAGGGCAGGGTCTTTCAGGAGTCCAGCCTTTCTCCTAGAAGGACAGGCTTCAAGCCTCACCCTCCCAGGAGGCCAGTGAGCTGGGGGAGTGGGTGCTTCCCGCAGAGACAGCGAGCCCATTCCCCCTTAGCAGCCAGACACTGGAGTCCAGGGGCAGGAAGCAAGGGCAGGCCTGGGAGCAGGCCCTGCACAGGCAGGCAGTGCTCAGGTGCTTCAGAGGCCTTCTCTGTCCAGGCTTCCAGTCTTTGCAGCGGAACTGACCCCTGAGCCGCCCCGAGTGCTCTTCCTCCCATCTCTGTTGGTGAACTTCTACTTCCCCTCCAGGTCTGACTCAAATGTCACCTCCTCGGAGGGGCCTCCCCTGCCCCTTTCAGCCAAGGTTACTCGCTACATCTTGGGTTCCTACCCACTTTCCACCAGCGCAGGTGGTGGCCAGTCCCCACAACGGCTCCCAGTGACAGTCAACTCCTGATCTTTGTGCCATTATTCCCTGAATGAGGCTGAGCTGTGTAACCGGCGGGACCTTGTCTCGGACTTTCGAGACAGGAGCGTGGAGGGCCCTGAAGCGTCGCCTTGCTGTATTTGGGATGGCCTGCTCAGGGGAAGCAGCCATGTCATCAGGACAGGCCCATGTCTGTGGGGCACTGAGGCCGCCTCCCCAAAGCCAGACAGCCAGAGCCAACTAGCCACCCCTGTGATGAACCAGTGTGTCCTCTGGGCCTGGCCATGCCTGCAGATGACGGGCAGCGTGACTGTCACCTCATGCGCCCTCCCAAGCCAGAACCTCCTGCCAAGCTGCCCCTCCACCCCCGGCCGACAGACACGGTGGGAGATGGTCAGGGTTTCTTGTTATTGGGGGAGAATTCTTACCTGGCGGTGGGTAACCAACAGGTACCTCAGTTTCCTTTGGGGGACTACCCTGCTTCCCCTTGTGTGGCTTTGGTGGAACTGCCTCTCATGGCACTCTGTCCTCCCTGGGCCAAGGGATGGGGCCCTGACCCGGAGGCGGCAATCAGACCCTCTCCCTGCAATTTGTGTCTCCAACAGATACGGTCCAGGAAGTGGTTAGGCTAATTCTGGAAACTACTTGATATTACACACACACACACACACACACCATGCATTATTTACACACATATACATACACACATATGTACACACACAGAAACATATGCACACGTGCATGCATTCTATACAGGTGCACACACACATTGTACACATGCATGTATACACACAATATGCATGCATGTGAGAACAAATACATACATATGTGTATATACATATACATACATACAGGTATTATATACACATGTACACACACAGGCATGCGTTTTCTTTTTTTGCCTATTGACTATTTCTGGCAACCAAATAAACTGAATTGGGACAGCCTCTTCCCTATCGCCATCCACACTGTACTATCAACCATCACACCAGTCACTGAAGGCCCCCCAAGTGCCTAGAACACACAGCATTCAGTAAGCACTCAACCACTGTGTTGAATACATAAGAACCCAGAAATAGGACCGATGTCGGGGCTCTTTATTGTGATTTAAATTTGTGTTTTGTTTGCACTCTGGGAGAAGAATTTAAAAGCTTGAGAATTCTTTATGCTTGGTTCTCCGAATTTCTCCCTCCCTCCCCTCCCTTCGCAGAGCAAGCAGCTCTCTCACCACCCTCAGGATATTTCTGTTGCCAGGCCAGGGGCAGAAGGTGTCTGTGGACAACCCAGCTGCCTTGGTCTGGTAGCCTAGGTCCTGGGGGGAGAGGAAGCATAATCCATGGAAAACGGAGCCAGCACAGCTGTGATGGAGATGTATCTCCGATGCTGGCAGCGTCCTGGAGATGACAGTCCGTCCTGGGAGCCATGGCTACGTGGCCCTTCTCAGAAGGCAGGATCACAGCCTTGGGTCCTCCCTGCAGAAATCCTTGAGCCAGCTTGGTGCCTCACCAAATGGAACCAGAACTTTGGGCTCTTGTGGGCTGTGATCCACAGTGATTCAGCAGTGACCGGTGTAGACTGACACGAGGGACTGGGAATCCTACACACCCTGGTCATACTGCTCCTATATCCCAGAGCCTGGGGCTCTGACAGAGGGAGCCCCACCCATGACTGAAATTGGATTCCTCACCAGTGCAGCATGGTGGGGGCACAAAATCGGACTGGCAGTAATTTGATTTAGGAAGGTGTGCCATTTCTCTATACCCAGGTTTGTGGAATAAGGCTCAGAGCTCTCAGTGGCAGGAATTTTTCTTTTTGGTCTGTTTTATTGTTGTATTACAGAGCCTAGTACATTGTCTAACACACAATAGGCATTGAAGAAATATTAACGTATAAAGGCACAAGTAGAAAATAATTGGGTGCTCAGAAAATGCTAGAGATGCTATAGAAACTTCCCTTAGATTCTTCTTTCACAACCACTCTAGAAACTTGGTATTCTTGTCCACATTTTCTTTTCCTTCCTTTCCTTCCTTCCTCTCTCCCTCCCTCCCTCCCTCCCTCCCTCCCTCCCTCCTTTCCTCCCTCCCTCCTTCTCTCTTTCCCTCCTTCCTCTCCTTCCTGTCCTGAAAGGACAGTTTTCAGCTGTCCTAATACATTTACACATGTTCTTACAAGCAATGTATTATTTACATGCATGTATTTTTATTTTATATGAAGGATAGTGTGTAACATTTCATCCCGTTTCCCATCGTTTCCATCCACCACATTTTGCCATCCACCTTCCCACACATGGGACGGCCTCCAGCACCCAACCACCTGTCAACATGGTGTGTGTGTGTGGGGGGACACCCTCCAACATATCTCCTGTGATGGAACTTCTTTGGAGTATATACCCAGGAGTGGAATTGCCAGTCTCTGATGTCTGTGTGACTTCACCAAGAAAGCCACAACAGCCTGCAGTATCTACCGGCGAGGCTTGAAGCTCCTTTATTTCCGTATCTGGGCCAACACTGGCATTCCCCAGCTTACTAATATTTTCCAGTCTAATTAGGTATAAAGTGATACCTCATTGTTGTTTTAAATTGCGTTTCTTGTCCCCATTTTGGGGGAAGAATGGACGCTTCAGAGAAGTGACGTGCCCAGGGGTCCTCAGCTGGTGTATGCATGGCTGGGCTTTGCCCACCTTCTCTGAGCTCAGGCTGCAGTCACCTGGGGTTCTGCTGCCCCTCACCTGGGCTTGACGGCTCTCCCCGCAGACGCCCCACTCTGTGGGTGCAGGTCTTCTGCTGTGGTGGAGCTCCACCTGGTGGCTCTGAGAGGGAACTACCGCTGTGGATGGGAGGGGGAGGGCGAGGGGGACGCGGGGGACTCTGAACCACCTCAGTTTTGAGGCTCCTGTTGTTTTTTACAAGTGATTTTTCTAATTTTATTTTTGTATCCAGACATGATTAACATATCACATATTAGTTTCTGGTGCTTTTCTAGATCCAAACATACAGCAACCCCCAAATATACAGAACTCCATTATTAACCAAGGTCACCAAGATGTACACTACATCCCCAGGACTGGAAGCCTCTATCCCCTGGTCACCTTAGCCTCTCAGGTGGAGGGGACCCAAACTGCTTCGCTTTTGAGGCTGTTGTTTTTAGCAAACAAAACCAGAACTCTTGTTCGTATACTTTTGAAAATGTACTTTAAAAGTACATATACCTGCCTAAAAGGCAGCACTCCTAAGTGTACAGTGAATGAATGCCACAAGTGAACCCCTGTGTGACCAGCACGGTAGATGCCGCTCCAGGCACTACCCACCCTCCTCCAGGGGCCGCCGCTATCCTGGCTTCTACCACGGTAGATTCGTCTTGCCTGGCGTGGGGTGGGGGTGGGGGTGCTGTTGTATACGGGGAATCACACAGCTGTCCTCCTTTCTGTGTCTTGCTACTTTTGCGTGATATTGCGTGCTTCGTTCATCCGTATTTGCTCATTCTCCTTTCTATGCAGTACTCCATTGTATGAATACACTGCTAGTTAATCTTTCTGCTGATGGACGTTTGGGTTGAATCCAGTATTTGTCTGCATTGAATAAAGCCACTGTGAACGTTCTAGGACAGTCTTTTGGTGCGCATAGCTGTACAATCCTGTGAAGTGCGTATCTAGGAATGAATACTGGACCACAGCGTCAGTGTGTAAACAAATTTTGTAGATGTTGCCAGTTTTCCAAAGCGATTGTACCCATCCCAATGGCGTTCTCTTTGCTCTACACTTTCCACTATAACTGGGATCATCCATTCTGGTGGTGTTAGTGGTATTGCCTTGTATTTTTCATTTGCATTTCTGAAAACTAATACAATTTCTTATGTTTATCGGTCACTCAGCTAACACTTTTGCAAGGTGCCTACATAAGACTTTTGCCCATTTTTTGATCGAGTTGCCTGCCTTCTTCACATTGACTTATCAGAGTTAAAATACGGGCTCATCTGAGTGTGAGCCCTCTGTCAGATCTGTATTTTCCCACATGGGTCACCTGCCTTCTCACTCTCTCACTGATGTCTTTTGATGAGTGGAAGTTCTACTTTCAATATGATATAATTTATTAATATTTTATTTTCTTACTGAGGCTTTTTGTGTTTAATTTTTTTTTTTTTTTTTTTTTTTTTTTTTTTTTTTTTTTTGCCTATCCCAAGGTCATGGAGATTGTCTTCTATGTTTCTTCTAAAAGCTTTCACAATCTGCATCCATCTGGAACCTATTTTTGTATTTGGTGAGAGGCGGAGGGTTGATATTTTTTTCCATATGGACATTTAATTGACCAGCCTGATTTATTGAAAAGATTGTCTTTTCGCCACTGCACCACAGTGTCACCTTTGCCATAAACCAGGGGGCTGTACCTGTGTGACTCTGTTGCTGGTGTGTGTGTGTTTCTGTATCTGGTGATAACTGTTAGAAAGGGTAATGGCGAGGCCACTTCAGTTTATAAAATACACTGTGCTACAGTTGGCACTCTCTGCCAATGGACCCTGGCTTGGGGTTGCTGATAAATGTTCTTTTCTCAATGTTGTCTGTGAATCTTGGGGCTCACTGTAGCTCATTTGGTTAGAATGTCAAGAAGCTGAACTGGAGACTCCCTGTGCCTGTGGAGCTCCCAGAGAAAAGCCCTGTGGACCCCAGAAGAGCACCCAGGTGGCCGTAGCAGCTGTGGGGTGGGGCGAGGTCTCTCCTCTGCATTCATTTACCCCTCTCTTTTCCAGTCCCTGCTGAACCCCAGGGGAAGCTTGCAACCTCTTTTGGAGCACCTGGGGTCTGAGAGGTGAGGGTCCCAGGGTAGCCCCTGTCTTGAGGGTCTGGGAGCACCAAGCAGTCCCTTGAAGATGTAGCATTCAGCTCCCCACAGAATGAAGTTCCACAAGGGCAGGGGTTGGGGGGTGGTGTATAAGACCTGTGATGTGTGTGTGTCCCCAACCAGCCCCTCAGCCCTTTGTCCCTCCTGATGTCCCTCTGGGGACTCTGGGTCTCCAGTTCTCACTTTTTCCAAGAGTCCTTTTCTAAGAAGCCCTTTCTAAAGAGTCTTCTTTTGGTGGGGAGAAAATCCACAGTCTCTCCCAAATCAGTTTTGATTTGGGTCAAGGACAAACGCTACATCAGTACAATGATTCATGCAGTCTGGCCTTGTTTTCTGATCACTACTGTCTAAAAGAGATGCACCAGGTCTGATGGCATGGGGTACCAGAAGATGTCACCTGGGGGGGGTGGGCAGGGATCCAACAGCAGAGGGAGCTTGCAGTGGCCTGGGGGAGGAGCTGCCTAAAGGGCCACGCTGGGGATTTGCGCGAACACCTTTTTAGCGTCTATCTCCCCTTCGACCATGTGGGGGTGGATGTCCACGTTCATGCCCGCATCCTTGCACAGCTTGAGCAAGGTTCGAATGTTGTTCTTGGACAACCTCAGGTATCTGTGTGAGATAAGGGCCAAAGAGGTCAGTTGAGGGTGGAGTCACTCTAGCTTCAAACTTTATTGACAAGAGCTTAGACTTAGGTAGCGTGGGATCTCTAAAGGGAATGGAATGGGCTCTGTGGACATTCTGGAGCTGATAGAGGTCTTATGAGAGAGTAGACACCCCACAGAACTGATGGGAGTTTTTATTCGTATAACTCTTGGAAAGTAATTTGGCAACATAGATGCCAAGCTCCGCCCCTGTCCCCCCAAGTCCCTCCCTGCCAACAGTTCATGGTCTTTGACTCAGGAACTCCACTCAGGCCTTCAACGAATCCGAAGAAGAGAAGCCAAGGGGAAAAAAGCTATATAAATCAAAGTGTTCACTCTGGGGTTAGCAACAACAGGAAAAGAAGAAATTCCATCAGCATAGGAATGGTTAAGCAAATAACAGAATATCCATTTCAAGGACTCTTCTGCCAAAGCTAACATGCCATTAGGAAAGCAGGTGCAATATGGTGGTCACGATACATTATGCCACGTGGGGAGAGATCCAATTGTCAGGGGTTCCATCACTGCCAGGTGTGCATAACCTCAGTGATGCCAAAGCCTGGGCCAAATACAGAACGGTGGCAATAAAAGCTGAGTAAATTGTGGGAAAGGGGAGTATTTTCTTATAATATCACTCAAACAATCTAAAAGTCTGGCCATTGATTTAAAATCTTAGCTAAAGCTCCACAATTCTAACTTACACTGGAGAGTGGAATCGGTCCCATCTATGCTGTGTGGTCTAGAGAGTATCTCTATCGTCATATCCTGAGAGCTCTGTATTCTACCAGCAATCTTGACCTTGTTCCCAGCTTTAGTAAAGGAGGTAGTCCCCCTACTCAGGCCACCTGCTGATTTCTTTGTTACAGTTGATGGGGGAAGAGCTGGATATTGATATAACCATTGGGAATGGTCTCCCTCTCCTTCAAGATCTGCCCAGAGCTTACCTGGTCTTATAGCCATCTCAGGTCCCACTCTCCAGCCCCATGTCAGGACTACTTTTCCATGACAGCACCAGTCAGGGTCTGCCCCTTCCGTCTGTGACCAGCACAGCTCTGGAAGGTCTCACACAAATGCACGTGTGAGCACTCACTATCCTGTTATGGACAATTTCATCTTTTTCTTGGATGGCTTGTTGGATGCCATCTCTCCAAATATTCTCTCTCCCTCCTTGGAGGGTAGGGGCCCTGTCCAAATCTCTTTTCTGCCCACTATTGAGCCCAGGTAGGCTGTCTGTTGGCCAGAGTCCACTAGAATCATCCTGTCAGACTGAAAGCCATAGCCAAAGTCACCCATCCGTGGAGAGGTCAAGCTAGAAGCCCCCTTCAGTGGGGGAGGCTGCCATTCTACCCATCCATCTCTCAGCCAGTCAGTGAGCAGAGCAGGACTTTGGAATGGGGTCACTGCGTGCCAGGCATCTGAGGCCAATCTTAACTCTACAGATGAGTTCACTGCTGTTCAGTCTACAGGACATCCACATTATTCTGTTGTCCGTTTTCCCTACTGAAGTTTCTGAATCTTATCAGTTACATCTTTACAGGAAAGGGCTTGGGAGGGGCGCTTGAATCTGGGGGCGGAAACCAGCAGGTCCTGATAAATGCGACAAAGAACAAGTGAGAAAGAAGACCTTTAGTGAGAATGGTAAACAGCAAATGGCTCACACTCTATTCATAGTACCTTCTGGAGTCTAAAACCCCAAACATACAGTAGGTAGCCAACTGAGGAGGGAGGGTGGCTCCTATCACCAGCAACTTGACACTGCCGTGTGAAGGCCCTCAGAGGGATTTCCTGTTAAAACCAGGCCACGGGGGCGCCTGGGTGGCGCAGTCGGTTAAGCGTCCGACTTCAGCCAGGTCACGATCTTCCGGTCCGTGAGTTTGAGCCCCGCGTCAGGCTCTGGGCTGATGGCTCAGAGCCTGGAGCCTGTTTCCGATTCTGTGTCTCCCTCTCTCTCTGCCCCTCCCCCGTTCATGCTCTGTCTCTCTCTGTCCCAAAAATAAATAAAAAACGTTGAAAAAAAAATTAAAAAAAAAAAACAAAAAAAAAACAGGCCACAGACAACTAACTGATTCTTTCATTGTGGATAATATTCATGGTTTGTACTGTGAAACGTACAGAAATACTGCAGGGGTGGTGAAGGTGTCCAGAGGCGTGGCATCAAAATGGCAGCACCTAAATGTTGCGCCTCATCCAAGAGCTGGTACCCCAGCAGCTGGGGCTGCTGGAAACCCAGCAGCTTCGGCCCTGGGTCAGCCCTTCAGGTCACAAAGACGGAGCCCCGTCCTGCCACCGCCTCCCTCCCCTCCCCTGGGCTTAGCCCAGGTGTCTGAACCAGACTGTGGAGACTCACCGGCAGCTCAGCACCTCCTCCGGCTTCAGCATTCTCACCGTCTCCACCTTGGGCTCGGCGCCCTTCTCCATGAGGCTCTTCAGCTTGCGCTCGTAGGAGACCTCGGGCATCCTGCCTACCACCCAGTCTCTCAAGAGCGTCGACCTCCGAGTGCTAAAGAGAGGGTCCTGGAGCATGGGGTCGATGATGCTTTGTCGATGGTATGGCACGGACCGTTGAGTGGACTCCAGGACGATGGCATCCTTGATGTCTAGTTCTGAAATTGGACAGATGGCACAGCAGGGAGTTAGAGCCTGGTAGAGGTGAGAGGCAGGGCGGACAGGAAGGGGTGAGGCTGGCGAGTCTGCACGGGCTTCAAACGATTGCCTGTTGTGAGATATGAGGTCACTTCAAGGTTTGCAGTCTCTTCTTGGCATTGGCTGAATTCTCACTTGTCTTTTCCTCCCTCCTTTCTCCCTGCCTCCCCCAGCTCCCTCCCCTTCCCTCTTGTCTTTAGTCCCCCTCTAGACCTTCTCTTCTTTCCCTCCTCACCTACACGGAACCTTAGCCTAGAGGAGGTAGGGGAAGCTATCTGAAATCAACTCTGACATGGTTTTTAAAGGAAAAACAGATTATTAGATGAAAAGGGGAGAAAAGTATTGCAGGCAGGAGGAACAGCATGTGCAGCAGGAGGAACAACATGTGTGGCAGGAGGAATAGCATGTGCAGCAGGAGGAACAACATGTGTGGCAGGAGGAATAGCATGTGCAGCAGGAGGAACAGCATGTGCGAGCAGGAGGAACAGCATGTGCAGGTATGAGAAACAGCATGTGCAGGCAGGAGGAACAGCATGTGCATCAGGAGGAACAGCATGTGCAGCAGGAGGAACAACATGTGTGGCAGGAGGAACAGCATGTGCAGGTATGAAATGGAAATGGGAAGGAGGAACAGCATGCACAAAGACACAAATGTATGAAATTAAATGGTGAGTGTCAGATGTTACCCAAATATGTGGTTTGGACTGAATTTAAATACTGTGGGGGCGAGTGTTTGGAGAATTTAATTTTTTTTCTTCTTGCTAAATTTGCCACTCGGTATTTTGTAGCTTTTTTTTTTTTTTTCTAATGAGAAGGGAATATATTCTCCCCATTTCCATTTCTGACTGGTATGACTAGTATAGAGAAAAGACTATTGCTTCACAATGTATTTTTTCTAGTCCAGTAACAACAAAACTACATTCTATTCTTTCTTTACTAGAATTTCTTGAGTTTTAGAGACACGTAATCATACCAGGGGAACAATGAAAATAGCTTCCTTGTAACATTTAGAAAATGTATATACTGTTCTTGACATATTGCATTTGACAGATGTTCTAACACAATGTCAATAATGATGAGAGCAATCATGCCTCATTTTGTTCCTGCTTTTAATTAAAATAATTAGCACTTTGTCATTTAGAATGATACTTGCCACTAGTTTTGATATGCTTTATAATATTTATCAGCTTAATAACTCTTAGGTTACATAGAGTTTTTATTAGTACTCATTGCTTGACTCTACCTACTGCTTTTCTGTCACTTACTGACATGCCCATATGGTTTTTCCTTTATTTCACTAATGGAATAAATTATGTTCTTAGATATTCTGATATTGATAATCTAACCTTTCCTAACCAGTACAAGAAATCCCACTTGGTCATGGTGTGTTATTAATTTCACACATTGAAATAGTTGATCTATTTTCATACAGTTGGCATATTTGCTAAAATTTTTAAATTTTTTGCATCTATATTACTTCTTTGCAAATATTTTAATATTGTGGTTATGGTGACTTGTGGGATTAATGCAGGGATATCTGTATGTTATATGGTCCAGAATAGTTGAAGTGATATCGAGATCATTTGTTCTTGAAAAGGTTAGATAGAACCAAATGTGAAGCCTTTTGTCCTGGTGACTTTTTCAGTGGGAAAGTGTCAACCACCTTTCAATTTTTACTTCAGAAATTGCTCTCCTCAATGTTTCTTTATTATATCAATTAAAAATTTTTTTAATGCTTATTATTTATTTTTTAGAGAAAGAGAGAGAGAAAGAACATGAGTTGGGGAGGGGCAGAGAGAAATGGAGACACAGAATCCAAAGCAGGCTCCAGGCTCTGAGCTGTCAGCACAGAGCCCGATGCGGGGCTCGAACTCACAGACCATGAGATCATGACCTGAGCCGAAGTCAGACACTCAGCTGACTGAGCCACCCAGGCGCCTATGATATCAATTTTAATAATTTAAAGTACGAGAGGAAATGATCTATTTCTTCTAGGTTTTCAAATGTATCAGAGAGAGGTGTATATAGTGTTCTATTACAGCTCAGTTCATGTATTTCTCATCTTTGCTTATACATTCTCTCCATACAAAATCTTCGACATTTTTGCTCTTTTTTTTTAAGTTTATTTATTTATTTGAAGAGAGAGAGAGTGTGTGCATACAAGCAGGGAAGGGCCAGAGCGAGGGAGAGAGAGAGAGTCCTAAGCAGACTCCGTGCTCAGTGCAAAGCCTGATGGGGAGCTCGATCTTACCGATTGCGAGATCATGACCTGAACAGAAACCAAGAGTAGTCGGACGCTTACCTGACTGAGCCACCCAGGCACCCCTACTCTTTTTAACGATGGTCACAAAAAGTTCATACTACTCGTCATTTGCTTTTTCAAAAAATTAGCTTTGGGGGGGGCGCCTGGGTGGCTCAGTCAGTTAAGCATCCGACGTCAGCTTGGGCCATGATCTCAAGGATCCTGGGTTTGAGCCCCGCATCGGGCTCTGTGCTGACAGTGCGGAACTTGGAGCCTGCTTCAGATTCTGTGTCTCCCACTTTCTCTGCCCCTCCTTTGCCACCCCCTCAAAATGAATAAACATTATAAATTTTTTTTTTTTAACTAGCTTTGGATTTTAACTATTGGCTTTTAACTATTTTTTAGCTTGGGTTTCATTAATCTCAGCTGGTATTTATTTAATGTATTAAAGCTCTCTTTTTCACATAAATTATTTCTTCTATCTTCTTGCAAATAATGGATTGCTACAAGTATTAGTTTTTTTCTTACTTTTTTTGTGTTATAAAGGTAAGAATTATTAGTTTTAGTTTTTACAATAAATTTTCTTCTGAGGCTAGATTCCACCTTTGTTCCCATAGGTTTTCGTAAGAAACGGGCTTATTTTCATGAGTTTCTTCCCCCCCTCTGATACAGGGTATTTTAGGAGTGTATTTGTTCATTTATGACTGCTGAGTTGGGAGTATCTTTTAATTTAAATGTTATTTCTAATTATTGCTTTAGGATAATGCCATGGCCCTAGGATCTTTACTTTGTGAATGTTAACGTTTTCTTTGAGGTGAAAATGCAGATGAGTTTTGCAGATATTTTTTAGCCACATAAAAACGCATTCTCTGTTCAAATATAAAGTTAAGTCTGTTTGATCTGTTTGATTCAAAAAGAGGCATATACAGAAATCAAAGAGGCATATTAGAATCTCCCACTATACTTGTATTTTTGTTAGATTCTCCTTGCGGTTCTCAATAACTATGTATTCAGCTACTATATATTTTGGTGTGTGTAGGCTTAGGTTTATTACTTATTCTCTTTAACATTTAAAAATATCCCTCTTTTACCTGACATGTTTCTTTTTAGCCTTAATTCCACCTCATTTGTTTGTCTTTCTTGTTATCTCTTGGCCTATTCTTTTGTTGTCTTTCCATATTAAACCCAATTTTAAGTGTATCTAGATTCTGATCTGTAAACCAGTTATTTGCTAGTTTGGGGTCTTTGCTCTCACTTAGGGCATTTTCTTTTTTCCTTTGTAAGTAGATTGTTCTCCTTGTAAGCTTGCAAGATTTCATCAAGAAAGTTTGGGAATTTTACCGGGCTATGTCTAGGGGGAATGAGTCTAGACCTCCAACAGTTATATAAATTCAGGGACAGCAGCCTGGAAAGAGGCACACTGTGATTCACCCAAGGTCTCGTATGAGTTAGTGGCCGAACTGGGAGTCTGTATGCCCAGTATGGTGCTCTGCACTGACAGCCGGTCCCTGGCCAGGTGGCCTTAGCAGCCCTGTTCATGCGTAGTGCAAATTGGTACTATGTTCCAGAAGAATCATGAGCTGCTTATCCTCACCAACGCAAATGGGAAATCTTTTGGAGAAAGAAGCATAGCTTTTTCTGAGGTATCTGAGTATCATCTAGGTCAAGGTAAGTCTCATGTAGGAAAGAAGAGTAGTAATATAAATGGTAATGATAATTAAACATCTGAACTAGCATTTATTGAGTGACTTCTGTGCCAGGCAGTGTTCAAGGAGCTTTCTGGGGGGGGGGGGGCACTACAGTTGCACTGCCATATTGTGTCCATTTAACAAATGAGAAAGTTGAGGATCAGAGAGATTAAGTCACGTGCCCAAGACGCCATAGCGAATTAGTGATGGATCTAGGAAAATGTGAACCCAGGTTGTTGGTCCCTTTTTCTGGGCATCTGACCTGGCTACCACCTGGGCATAAATGACCCACATTCCTGAGTCTGTGGCTGAACAGATAAGTTAGATTTCTACTGGGCTGTAGTTGGGGCCCCAGGGGCTGACTCTGCGCTCATGGAGACAGAGGGTATCATTGCCCTCCAGCCCTCGGCATGAGGGATGCCCTCCTGCTCTGGCATCTACGGAATGCCCTGGGCCCCAGGGAGAGAAAACCTAGTGAATTCCCCTTTTCTAGGTTAGCCGGCTCAGACTTTGCCAAGATTTACTTTGGAAATGGGCTCCAATTTCTTTCCCAGGGTCTTTTATGGGACCATAGCCAGAATGACCTTTTACAAATTCAAAACCAACTTAGTGGCCCTCCACGCGGGCCAAGGGGTTGGTGAGAAAGGGGAAGCAGAAGAGAGTGTTTTCAGGAAGTTCAAGTGTGGGGAGAAGGGAGTGGCCCGTGGCCCACAGCAGCAGCGTGGCAGCAGGCCAGTGCCTCCTGGGTGCGACAGCGTGGTGGTCATTGGCAGGATGGAGGCGGCATTTCAGCTGTTAGGAGGAGTGAATGGGAGCTTTTATGAAATTGAGGCGGACAAAGATGAAGTGGTCTGCGTTGAAAAGCACAGTGCTCCCCGTGGGGGTCATCACTGATGTTTTCTATTGGCTGTGGGGTTCTGGAGCTGGAGGCAGGTCTGTGTCACTCATTCAGAACACATGGTGTGTTGGGGAGCCTGGGTGGCTCAGTCAGTTGGGCGTCAGACTTCGGCTCAGGTCATGATCTCGCAGTCCGTGAGTTCAAGCCCGCATCGGGCTCTGTGCTGACAGCTCAGAGCCTGGAGCCTGCTTTGCATTCTGTGTCTCCCTCTCTCTCTGCCCCTCCCCCGTTCATGCTCTGTCTCTCTCTGTCTCAAAAATAAATAAACGTAAAAAAAAAAAATAAAGAACACACTGTGTGTCACAGATTTTGATTTTGTGGCCACCATACACTAAAAACGTGAATGAGTGGGAGTTGTTGTATCTGTACAGATAGAGTGGTCACATTCTAGTTCTGGAGGTGGTGGGGATCATCTGACGGCCATTCCCCACAGACTCTTGCTCAGCAGATCACACAGAAACATGGCAACGAGAGTACAAAGGCCTCACTCTGCAGATAGGGAACCCGGGACACCCGGGGGATCTGGCTCTTGACAAGGACACCAATGATCCAGGTGCTGCGTGGGGCCAGGGGAGGCCAGGACCAGGAGTTCTGGTCCTTACTTCATCCATATTTTTCTCCACTTGGACTCCTGCCATAGCCCATAACTGGCTCCACGTCTTTCCTAGGGGCTGCTTTGTCTTGAACTTGACTCCAAAAGCAGATCCTGCCCATTCATTTCAGGCCTCTTGCTAGCCTTCTCTGGAAGCTCCCCTTGCTGTGCTCAGGCTCAGTCCTGATTCAGTGCCTGGGTGCCACATCTGGATGCCAAGGTGGTTCCTGGGTGCCTCTGAGCACCTGCTGCAACTGAGCACCTGCTGCCCCCCAGTGGCCACTTGTTGTATTGCATCAGGTGGGAGAAAAATGTCCCCTGTTGAACTGGATGGATTTTGTCTTGCTGGGGCGGGGGTACTGCAAAGAACCAAAAAACCGCTTGCATTTTTGTGCAGTGTTGTGAAACGGATTATTTTATTAGCTGGTAGTGATTTTCTCTTAAGGAAGAAACTGCCTTTGTTTAGGAAATTATCTTGATAGACTCCTTTTGAGTGTGGAGTAAGACAGTAAAACAAAGGAAATTAAGTGATCCTTCCAGGTAAAAAGCCAATGGGAATTGTGGGGTGAGGAAAGCAGAGGATGGAGGAGAGGGAGAGGAAAAACAGAGGAAGAGAGGGGAGCTAGGAAGGCCCAGGAGTAGAGTGAGGACAGCAAAGTGCCTGGGGCAAGGGTACAATTCAAGGAGGTGTTCAGTCTCAGGCTCCCGCAAGTGCAGAGTCAATACCAGAGAGTGAGTCCCTCCTTAAGTCTTGTATCTGGGGGCCAGACTTGGGCTCACTTTAGCTCCAGTGCTGGGGTGAGTGGAACAGCTGGGAAAAGTAGGGAAAGGTAGCCAGGGGACATCTCCTGGTGGCTGGGGACAAAGGACTTGGACGAACCCTTAAGAGGGTTTTGTAATCAACTTCTGTTTTGTTTTCTGTAGAATTCTGCCATGAAATTCTTTTCCTTTGTTGCCCTAAACTTCAGTAAAGTCTGTTTACACACAAAGGCTTCCTGTGAGAGGTTTTGGGGGAAATGAAGGACACGGGGCTGTGTCTGCTCTGGCAAGGGGCAGGGAAAAGGGAACAACCACTGGAATGGAGATCTGCAGAAGCTCAGGGGCTCAGTGGGAGCCAGACTTGACTCTGGGAGTCACAGAAAACTCTAGGGCCTATGCCAATCTAGTTGCAAAGATGGCGCACAGAGTTCCTGTACACTCTTGCTCAGTTTCTCCTCATGTTAACATCTCACACCAGCAGGGAATATTTGTCAAAAGATAATTAACAAGTTAACCTTGGCACATCACAGCGTCTTTGGATTTCACCAGTTTTTCCACCAAAGTGTTGTTCTAGAATTCAGTCCAGGATTCTGCACAGCATCTAGAGCCAATCATATTGAAACCTGACAGGCAAGTGAGCGCAGTTGGGTTACGATGGCTTTGGTGTATTCAATGAAAAGGAAAAGAGGGCATTTTGCTGGGCACGATGGGAGTAATTTTGGACGGGAGGCCTGCCAGCCCCTACTCAAAAGCTTTCGGCCACTCCTCCCACTTCTTTTGCCAGACACCTCCTCTCCAAGAAGCCAGGCACAATAAATGCAACTGTTTTTCCAACACCGTGGTACAGCCCACCTGAGAATTTTAGCATTTTTTTTCCTTAGAAGTCGCTGCCGCCACCATTTATTGACCACCTACTACATCAGGCTACACGCTTTATATGCCTCATCTCACTAAAACTCTATTGTGAGGCAAGTCATGTTATTGTTGCACATTCTAGATGTGAAAACTGGCCCCTGCAGATGGAGAGACTCACCCCGGATTATACAACTCCAAGTTCACTACAGAGCTGTTCGAACCCAGGCAGCCTTGGGAACTGAGGATCTGGCATTACCTAAGCCGACTTCTTCCTGGGTGTGAGCGACACCTGGCGGGATTTGGGCCAGCAGGAGTGGTGCCTCGTACGTCACACTGACATTGTCACGGTACCTAAACCAGTGAGATAATCTGGAGCTCACGAGGTTGCCATCATCAAACTGGCTTTTAGGAACCTGGGGTACACTCTGCTGGCACCCTGAGAAGAGAACCCCCAGGTGTGGGCAGAGCCTGGACATCCACGCGCTTGCCGTCCAGGTCGCACCTTTTGTGGTGTGATCCCTAAAGAGCCACGTGGGGCTCCACAACGGTCCAGGGCTGCTGGGCTGGCATGGAACCTGCTGCTTTGACAACAGTGTGGGCTTCCTGTAACTCTGAGAGGTGGGCAATTATGAGGGATGACTCTGGCATCCCATCTTCCCGTCTTAGGGTAGGATGCTCCCCTTACCAGATTTCTTGGGGTTGTCCCTGGAGTAGCTGCCAGGAACCAGGCTGAGGCGTTTTCCCTTTAGCTTTTGGTACATGACATGGTCCTTGTCCTTCTTGGTGCCTTGCTCGGGGGTCTTGGAGGGGAGCGGGAGACAAGTCACTCCACGAGGAACAGGGCTTGGCGTGGCCTCCTCCACCCTCAAAATGAGTGATTTCAGGGGTTCGCAGAAAGGCAGGCAAAGGGGCCAAAGGAGAGACTGCTCTGGGCCTGAGGCAGGTGAAGGGGCTGGGGTGGTAAGTTGGCACCTGCTCACCCACACGTGACTTTTGGTCCCTGCTACCTCGGAGGGAGTCCATGAGGGGTCACAGAAGCCACAGCCGTCGGGGACGGGGGGGCACTTAAGCCTGGCTGTTCTCATCTCTCAGCCTCTCAGATGGCATTCCTGAATGGTCTGGGGATGGCAGTGAGAGGAAGGCACCTGGCAAGAATGACCCTCTACCACAGGAGTGCCAGCATCCATGGGGCTGGTGGGGTCTGGAGGGGGGAAAGGGGAGGGGATTCATTTGTGTGTTAGTGTGGAGCAGGGTGGATTTTAGAGCCTTAAACTGAAAAAAAGTGTAGCCAGGTACTGTGCAGGGGTGGAGCACGTACCCCTTTTCAACCCAGGGAACCCGTGTTACCTTCTCAGAGAAGGCTGCCTGGTGGTTCCCTTTCTGCTTTTTGGGGATGCTTCAGCCTTTCTTTTCTTCCTTCCCAGTTGTTTCAGGGGGTACCGCCCAGTTGGGTTTCTGTTTTTGAAAAGACAGGATTGCACTGTGGCTGCCCCCACAGAGGGGTGGCTCTGTGGAGAGCGGGCTGCACCCTCCCCACTTCTAGATTTGGCTGGCTCCCACTCTGGCACTTCTGTCCCCCCCCCCCCGGATCCCCCCACAATTGTCCTTCTGCCTCCAGACACGCCCTGCTGTCCACGACACTCTGCTCCTAGAGAATGACCTAACTCCCAGGTCTGGCTGTCCCCCCCACCTCAGAACCCATCACTAGCTCCCTCTTACCCTCTACACAACGGCCCCTCTCTCCAGCCTAGTAGGAATTCCTCCTGGCCCCCAAATGACCTGTGTAGCTGCGACTTTCCTGCCATGGCCTCCAGTCTGAAGCCACAGGAAGGCCTTCTTGTCTTGGAGTCCAGCCAGAACATGCCCTCTGTCCACAGATCTCCCTTCTGTCCCAACCCCTCCCCATTCCGTCATATGACTTCACCCCGCCTTTCTCCTTCCCTGGGCGCTCCTCTTGGTGGCTGTGGACTTCCTTGCGCGCATGCCTAGGCTCCTACCCCCACTGGGGCGTTGGGGAGGACACAACAGGGAGCTCTGGGGTCCAGTGGGGAGGGCCCCACAGAGGGGCATCCAGGCCAGCCTACAAGGAGTAGGGGTGCTGGAGCCCCTCAAGGAAAGCTGAATTGGCTGGGTCTGTACCTGCAGTGTGCTGCTTGTGGTTGTGGGGACACGGCGGCTGGGGCTGGCTTCCAGGTCAGATGCCCATGGGAATCCTGCTCTATTGCTGGGGGCTGAGCAACCTGGGGCAAGCGACTGCTCTCTCGGCAGCTTGGTTTCCTCATCTGAAGATGGAGGCAGTAGTAGGATTTATCTCCTAGGGTTATTTTGAGAACTTAATGAATGACTGTGTGGTGCCAGGGGAAGGGAGAGGAGGCCACAGACAGCCCCCCTCCAACCGCCTTTACTAAAGCCCCCCCGCCCCCGACCCTCAATCTGTGCTGTCTGGGACCTGCCACGGAAACATCGCTTTCTCAGGAGCTTCTTCAAAATCCGCGTGCCTCTGGGAAGATTAAGAATGCTTGAAGATTTCAGTGTATTTTCAATTTAAATTTGTTCCCTCCCTGAGTCCAAAATTATTTCCAGTAAAAAGCCACATAAAAGGTAAAGCTGTGAAAACACTGGAATATACTCTTCATGAGAAGGGACTTCTTCTGTTGATCACAGAAGTGAATATAAATCTCTGTGATTGATACTGAGTTCTGAGCGGCCCAGCAGTCAAAAAGGGGGGCCAAGAGGGTAGACCATCCATAAATCATTAGCACCTTAATGTAAAATATGTTTCTCAGACGTGTTTTAGTATGTCTGGTGGAACTGGAACTCCGGATCTTTCTGCATATGAATGAGGAGCAAGCACATACACGGACGAGAACTTTTTGGAAAGTCAGGGGCCGCTAGAGAGGCTGAAGCAGAGAAGTGGAGGTGGTTATGGGGAGTTGACCTGACAAAGCCCCTGAGCGTGAGAACTGGATTAGTCTGAGTTTGAGACCTGGCTTGACCCTTCATTAATTCTGTGAGCTCAAGCAAATTGCTTCCCTGCACCTCACTCAGCTTCCTTATTACGTCACTTCCGCTGAGGGGTAAGAATGGTGCCCACCGTGTGGCCCTGCTGGGGGCAGTTGACAAGATAACTCATGTGCAAGGCTAAGCACAGGGCCTGGCACACAGTAAATGCTTAATAAGCATTAGCATCATCCTACGTAATGCCATTTTCCACCCGTTTTTCTCTGGGGGCCAGAGAATTCAAGATCAGGGGGTGTCCTCTACAGAGGAGACCACTTTCTAAGGACATGGCTTGATTTTCCATAGATGGTGGGCCTGGGGGGAAACTGAGGCAAAACTGGTTGCTATAGTTCCTGGAGAGAGAGGGAGTGTGGTGCTAGCGGTGCTACAGGCTGAATGGTGTCTCCCCTCCCCTCCCCCAATTCATATGTTGAAATTCTGACTCCCGGTGTGATGGGGGTGTTAGGAGGTGAGGCTTTTGGGAGGTGATTGGGTCATGAGGGTGCAGCCTCCACAAGTGGGATTAGTGCCCTTGTAAAAGAGACCCCAGAGAGCTCTCCCATCTCTTCCTTCCTGTGAGGACACAGCGAGCAGGTGGCCATCTATGAAGCAGAAAGCGGGCCCTCATCAGACACTGAATCTGCAGGCACCTTGATCTTGGACGTCCCAGACTGTCAAACTGGGAGACATTAATTTCTGTTGTTTATAAGCCGAGTCTATGGTATTCTGTCACAGCAGCTGAAGAGGACCAAGATGGGTAGATTAGAACTCGTTGGGATACTGGGTAGAAAGGAGGAGGTATGTTAGCAGGAGTCCCAGTGGGATAACAGTGGAGACTGAATGCCCTTTGACCCTGGAGCCATCATAAAGACGCAAGCTTCTGGGGACAGTGGGGAGGGCCCATTCTGCCACCCTGGAGATCTTAGAAGCTATTGTCCCTAAGCTCTTCTAGAACACTGACCAAGACAACCTTAACGCCCTCCTCACCCCAATGAAACTAGAGAGGTTCCTTCCTGGCTTTGGGCCCAGGACCTCTCTTTCCTTTTCCTTCAGAAAACCAGCACTTGTAAATTCTTTTCCTGCCCCTTTGAGATGTAAATCTTCTCCCAGACTCTTGCCAGTTTCAGAATCCAGGAATATTTTTTCGAGGACCTGGAAGCCATCCCTTTGAAATGAAATCATCTGGAAAGACAGCACCCCCTCCTCCGGGTCTCTGTGGGAGGTAGGAGGCTAACTACCTGGGTGACAGTTGGCACAGCCGGCCTAACCACCTGGACAACCTCCCCTCTGCCCCGAGTGCTTCTCTATTAGTTCGCCCAGTGCTTAAAGCTCCTCCCGCCTTTTGTTTCCTGGGAGGCTCAGTTCCATGTCTCCCTATTGTAATAGTGTTGAGTCCGGCTCCCCGGAGAGTCTTTCTGCCAAGTACACACCTGGAAAGTTTGCTTTTTCTTCCCCTGCCTGCGTTGCAGCCACTCCAGCACCCGCGTGAGGTCGGACATCCGCCTCTCCTCCGAGGTCCTCCACATGGACTTCCTCTCTGTGGGCATTGAATCCTTTAAGTTCTCGGATGGCTCTGTCATTCTGAGGTCTTGGCTGTGCCTGGGGTGGGCAGATGGCACTGTCACTTAGTTGAACCCCCCTGTCTCCGGTGGGGTTCTGGCCTGGTGGTGGAAAGGCCTTTCAGGTGGAAAGGTGTGGCCTTTTGGATGTGAACATAGGCCAGCAGCTGGGATATTGGCCTTCAAAGGTGGGAGGTCTAGGGGGTGATTGTGAGGTCACTGTTAGGCTGGCCTGGGGGTCAGGGTGGGGTGCAGTACTGGCTTCCACACACGGTCATTGCCTCTCCACAGGCACTGTCCCTTATCTGGACTCTGCCACAGCCTCTCCTCCTCCACTGCCATGAAGATCTTAAAGGTCAGTTCACATACCTCCCTTTCTCACAAAACTTCAATGGCTCCCTGTAGCCTACAAAAAAAAATCTATATTCCTTAGTTTGGTATCCAGGCTTTCCACAATGAATGAAGATTTTTTATAGCCTCAGTTACTTTTATGTTCATTGAACAGATAGCTATCAGATGCCTACTAGGTGCCAGGCACGGTGCTGGGGATACAGTACAAAATGACATAGCCAGACCTCCTAAAACATATGGGCCAGTGGGAAAGACAAAGCAGCAAATAATTGTTCTATGAGTCCATAAGCGCAAATAAAAATGAGGGCTCTGAAGGAAAGAAATACAATGCTGTGAAAGAACTAGATTTGGATGGGTCGTGGGAGGGTCGCGACTCACTCAAGCATGGAGCTAAAGGGTAAATAGGTCTCAATGGGGCTCTGGACCAGAGGGATGAGCATGTACAAAGGCCCTGTGGCAGGATGGAAGCACAGCAGACTTGAAGTATAACAGAAGCACAAAGGCTAGAGTACCAGGTAGTGAGAAATGATGCTGGAGAGGTGGGCTAAGGCCAGACCAGACAGGACCTTAGAAGTCACAGGTTTGCTCAGACTCGCAAGGAAGAGGAAAACAAGCGATTCAGAAAGAGGGGAGGGACTGACACAATCAAGCTTCCTTTTTTGTGTTACTAAACTTTTGTTGAAGGAAGCTGTGTATAAAGAAATGTGCCAGGGGCATCCGGGTGGCTCAGTCGGTTAAGCATCTGATTCTGAGTTCAGCTCAGGTCATGATCTCACGGTTTGTAAGTTTGAGCCCCGCATCAGGCTCTGCACTGACAGTGTGGAGCTTGTTTGGGATTCTCTCTCTTCCCCTGTCTCTCTGCCCCCTCCCTCCCTAGCTTACTCTCTCTCTCTCTCTCTCAAAATAAATAAATAAACTTAAAAAAGAACATTAAAAAAAAATCTAATTAAAAGAGAAAGAAAGAAGAAAGAAAGAAAGAAAGAAAGAAAGAAAGAAAGAAAGAAAGAAAGAAAAGAAATGTGCCAGAATCACAAATGAAGACATCTGTATAACAATTTCCCCAGAATTCCTCCTTACAGCTCCTGCTGGTCAGGGTCTCCCTCTGAGGGTAAACACTATTCTAACTTCTAATTTCATAGGTTTGTTTTGTCTGTTAGAGTTTTATATCAATGGAATCATATTACATACAGTTTTTCATATCTGGCTTCATTCATTTTACAAATATATTTGCAGGATTTTAGCAATGAATTCTATTAGTCTTTGTGTATGTGGAAATGTCTTTATTTTACTTTCATTTTTGGAGAAACATTTGCTGGATAATAGAATTCTTGGTTAACAGTTTTCCCCCCAGGATTTTGTATATGCCATTTCACTGCCTTTTGCTTTCCACTGTTTTATGTGGGAAATCATCTGGTAATCACATCATTGGTCCCCTGCACATATGAGTCTTTTTATTATTATTATTATTATTATTATTATTTTGATGATTTTTTTCTCTGTTTTTGTCTTAAAATTTTTTTTTAATGTTTCTTTACTTTTGAAAATTTTTTTTTCAACGTTTATTTATTTTTGGGACAGAGAGAGACAGAGCATGAACAGGGGAGGGGCAGAGAGAGAGGGAGACACAGAATCGGAAACAGGCTCCAGGCTCTGAGCCATCAGCCCAGAGCCTGACGTGGGGCTCGAACTCCTGGACCGCGAGATCGTGACCTGGCTGAAGTCGGATGCTTAACCGACTGCGCCACCCGGGCGCCCCTGAATGTTTCTTTACTTTTGAAAGAGAAACAGACAGAGTGTGAACAGGGGAGGGGCAGAGAGAGGGGGAAACACAGTATCTGAAGCGGGGTCCAGGATCTGAGCTGTCAGCACAGAGCCCTACACAAGGCTCAATGTGGGGCTCAAACTCATGAATTGTGAGATCATGACCTGAGCTGAAGTCCAACACATCAACCAACTGAGCCACCCAGGAGCCCCTGTTTTTGTCTTTTAAGTGTTTGCTATGATGTGTCTGGGTGTGGATCTCTTTGTATTTATCCTCCTTGAAGCTTCTTGAACTTTTGGGATAATGTATTTAATTGTTTTTCATCAGATTCTGGAATATCTTGGCCATTTTTTCCATAATGTTTTTCTGTTCCTTTCTCTTTCTATGTCTGGGAGTCTCATCACGCATCTGCTGACATGCTTAATGTTGTACCACTGTGCTCCAAAGTTTTGTTCATTTTTCTTCCATCATTTTTTCCCCCTGATCCTTAGATTGGATAATTTCTATCAATCTATCTCCAAGTTTGCTAATTCTTTCCTTGGCCATATATAATCTTTCGTTGAGTCTTTATAGTATATTTTCATTTCAATTGTACTTTCAACCCCAGAATTTTCCTTTTTAAATAAATAACTTTTGGGGTAGATTCCCATGGTTCATCGCTTACATACAACACCCAGTGCTCATCCCAACAAGTGCCCTCCTCAATGCCCATCACCCATTTTCCCCTCTCCCCCAAAAACCAACCCAAAAACCAAGAGCACACTTTACACACTGTATGTTAACCAATTTGATAATAAATTATATTAAAAAAGTAAATAAGTAAATGTTGAAAACAAAAAAATAAACAAAACAACACACTTGTATAAATTGCACAGATAAAATTAGCATTTCTACAAAATTAAAGTAACTGTTATTTTGTTAGAAAAAATAAAATAAAAAATAAAAAATATACTTAGCTGTCTTCAGTTGGGTCATTTAAAAATTATAAGAGTGTCTTGATATAATATTCCTTTGTTGCAAAATTCTTCTATTAAATTTCACTTATCTTTTAAAAAATAATCTCTGTCTCCTTATTTAGAATTTATGTTGATTCATCGTTGTCATACTTTCATTTAAATTTTAAACATGATTTGTTTTAATTCTTTGCCGTATTTGTAGTAGCTATTTGAGGTCTTTGCTAAATTCAACATCTGCAAACACTCAGAGACAGTGTTTATTGACAGATGTTTTCCTGGGTATGTGTCACACTTTCCTGTTTCTTTGTATATCTTGTAATTTTTTACTGAAAACTGGACATTAAGAAAAATTGTAGCTACTTTGGATTCTGATTCCTGCCAAGTTTATTGTTGCTTTTTTCCCCATTTATTTATCTGTTTAATAACTTAGCTAGGCTCTGTGAATCAGACAATCCCTGTCTGGGAATCTGGGAATCCTGTCTTCCTGATGGTGTGAAGTCCCTGAAGTTTCTGATTAAATTTTTTGTCTTTTTGTTTTTATATTTAAGCCTAGTTTCCTGATTGCTTCTGTGTCTGCATATCTGCATATCTGTCTGCAGAGAGATTGTGCTCGAATACCTCCAGCCAGTAAACAATCTGTCTTCTGTTGAGGAATCTGTGTGTGGACAGGGGGGCTGTGTCAGCTCTCTTAGTACTGCATTATTGTTTATTTTTGCACAGTTTATTATTGAAGAGCTCCTGTGGGTCAGGATTCTGGGTGTACCTTGGTTGGGTCCTCTGACTCAGGCTAAAATCAGGTGTGAGCCAGGTTACGGTGGACCATCTGAAGGACTAACTGGGGGAGGCTCTACCTCCCAGTTCCTGATCTGGTTCTTGGCAGGACTGGGTTCCTTGCAGCTCATTGACCTGAGTTCTTCCTTTGCTGGCCATTGGCAGAAGGCCACCTTCAGTCTCTTGTGACATGTGACTCTCCATAGGGATGCTCACAACATGGCAGCTCACTTCATCAGGGCAGCAAGGGAGAAGAACCAGAGAGAGAATGAGAGCAAGGCGGAAGTCATTTTTTTAAAACCTAGCCTCGGAAGTGACACCCATCACTTGTGCTGAGTTCTGTTTATTAGAAGCAGGTCACTATGTGCTGGCCTCACCCAAAGGGAGGATTACACAGGGTACTAATCCGAGGAGGTGAGGATCACAGGGAGCCATTTTAGAAGCAGCTGATAACAGGAACCCACTCAAAACTCAGGCCATTTTCAAGTGTTTTCTGTCGTTTACTTTCTGCTGGACTCTTTCTCATCTTTGCACACACGCACAGCCTAGGGGTTAGCCAGGAGTGTGTGGTTGCTTGGGCCTTCTGTGGTTTGCACACTGTGTGCACGCAGCTTTAGCCAAGAGTATGTTTGCCCCAAGCACAACCGGCAGCCTTGGTCTGGTGGAGCTGGTGGCTCTTGTGCTTTTCTGCCTTGGAGATTTTCACGGAAGCCTACAAGGCTGCCAAGGGTGGGTGCCGCTTACTGCCCCCAATCCAGTGATTCCCTTTTAGCCAAAGCAGAGAAACTGCCCCACACTGGTGGGACCTCTGTGCTTGCAGCTGGGAGGAGGGGCCGGGAGCAGCTTTGGGCAGGAATGCCACAGATGTTCACGGTTATTGCCCAACCTTCTGGTTTGCAAGCACAAATACTGCTCCAATTGTGGTATGATGTCCAGAGTGCTATGTGGTTGTTTTGATCAATTTTGTCCAGCTTTGTAATTGCTTTTAGGGGAGAGGATTTGCTATGTCCCTCCTCAGCCGTAGGTGGAAGTCCCCTGCCAATACACCTTTTATATAATACATTTTGTAAGACCCCCTTTACTGTGTTAACATAAAACTCATATATAATTTAGCCTATTTGCATACACATACTAGTCCTCCAAACTAATATAAGGGAGAAATTTTTTAAAATGTATACAGT